AAGATTCTGACCTATATACCTAAAAAAAATCATTATTTCTTTGTTATGGTAAGGACGATCATGACAACGATCATTGATTGTTGTAAAGACCCATTTGGTTCACTTTAAAGTGGGAATCTGCCATCTTTACCTGGTTTGGCCTGCATGTGACTCCAGACTCGCAGCAATTTAGTTGACTCTCAACTGCCCTCTGAAACGGCTGAGCAAGCCACTCAGCTCAAGGGCAATTAGGGATGGGAAACAAATGCTAGCCTTGCCACCGATGTCCACACCCTATGAAAGTATGAAAAAAGCAACTTTTTTTTAAAAAAAAGGAAATATGAGTTTTGATTTGAGAAAATATTCGCACATACTTGCAACGATTTTTTTGTTTGAATGGACAAAACAGTGAAAGCCAAGTACACACGGACATAAATCTTAATTATGTGACTGCCCAAAATAGGCTTTCTATTTGCTTTGAGGAATTAAAGTTCAATCCACAATAATCTTATTTACTAATCTCTGAAAAATCTGAGTGTGATAGTTCGGGTCCTGAGCCAACTCAAAATGAACAAGGTCTTCTGCAACATGTTTTCTATCATTTCTGTTTTGGTACAGTTATTGTTCTCACGGAGTGCGATGATGTCTCATTCATTTCCTGTAGGTGTCTGTTGTGAAGCTCAGCTGGTCACGTTACTCTCCCTTTCAGTTCATTTCAGTTTCCGGGAACTTAAGTCAGTTTACAAGTCCAGCGCTTGTCTCGAACGCTTTAAACCTGTATCCCTTCATATTCTCTGCCTCTGTAGCGAGTTAGTGGAGCAGGGGAGTGGAGCTTGATCTTCTTACATGATAGTGAATGGGAGCGTCAGATAATTTTATGGGATGAAAAGGTAAATGAGAGTTTTACAGAGATCGCGCTATATCGACAATACACTGCCTGTGTTGCGATTCTCCTCTACATTCCGGTGAGTGAGGTGAGTCGAGGATCGGAGACAGCGCAGGTGCGCAGCTGAGCAATGGCCAGGTACATACTGAATCTGAGACAGACACGTCTCCTAAGAACTGGTTACAAGCTGAGTATTGTGTATGTATGTATGAAATGCTGTTTTGTCTTTGGGACAGCCGTCCAGAGAAGAAAGGTAATGGTCATTGCATCTTTTATTTTCATATTTAAGTATCTGGCATACTTAATGCACCTTCACTTTCCCTCACATCATCTCCTCACAGTTTTCAGCATCTGGAAATATCCTACATAGTTGCCTCCCCAGCTGTGGTTAGACATTTCACAGTACTGACCAGTCTTTGTGGAGAATAGCTTAACACCTGACTTTGCCCTTTTCTCCATTTGTTCTAATGCATCCTGGTTCTGTAATTATTATTCAACATTAAATAATGCTGAAGTTTTTCTATTCAATTTATATAACTGTAATAAATGCAAACAAGTCTTTTTCCTCCTTTCTCGGCTCTAACAGCCGAATACTTACAGCCTTTTCTCATAACTCTGAACACAGGTCTGGGATTTAAGGACTGTCTCCAGGACTGAGACTTTCCAATATGCTGGCAGCCAAGGTTGGCAAATAGCTTTGAACAATTATTTCAGACTCTTCATTCATGTCCTGTCTATATCCCTGTCGTTAGGATGAATGGACACTTCTTATATTTTTACAAAGTCCAAAGTTCATAAAATCATATAGCACTGTATGAGGCCATATGGCCCATCATGTCAGTGGTAGACTTTATGTAGTGCTATTTATGGCACCGTATTCCAGATTATACTTGTTGTATAAAAGAAAATCCTAATGTCATCTTTGTTTGGAGCCCCTTTCTTATTAAATGAAATAACTGTTCACTCATTCATTAGATTTTTCTCACATTAGTTCATTTTTACTCACTTGATGAAGGATGAGAATTGTGTAGCTCCATCTAAAGGATCTGCTTCTTGACCTAGAGAAAATCACAATGTATATGTCCAAATTCATAAGATCACCAGGAGTAATGCCTCTACTTGCTTGCTTATATTCAAAAGTATCCCTGCAGAATTATGGAATGTGAGCATAGCAAAAAGCCTTTCGTAGATCTTTGGCACTATACAACCTCTGAGAGGCTTCTCCTAATCTGCTATTGTAATTGTAGTGGGAGATCATCAACTACATTTCTTCTCTAGGGCTTTCATCGATGGAGAACATTACAAATATTATACCCCTTGTTGTGCAGTAGAATCAATTGGAGTAATGGTTTAACATGGAAATAAATATTTGATTTAGATAGGTCACATAGTATTTTCTTATGTTTCCTAAAAATTGTATGACATTCAACATGAAAATGATCAGATCAAAAACAGAGCTGTGAAAGTTTGTGTATTCCGCTTATGCCCTAGAAATGAATGTAATGTTCAAGACTTCATATGTCCAATGGCCTGCTGAGCTTCAGTATGCTATTAATAGGGGAGGCGATGGCCTAGTGGTATTATTGATAGACTGTTAATCCAGAGACCCAGACAATGTTCTGGGGACCTGGGTTCAAATCCCATTATGGAATTTGAATTCAATAAATATCTGGAATTAACAATCTAATGATGACCATGAATCCATTGTGGATTGTCGGAAAAACCATCTGGTTCACTAATGTCCTTTAGGAAGGGAAACTGCCATCCTTACCTGGTCTGGCCTAGCAATGTGGTTGACTCTTAACTGCCCTCTGGGCAATTAGGGATGGGCAATAAATGCTGCCTAGCCAGCAACGCCCTCATCCTATGAATGAATTTTTAAAAATTACTGAAATGGTAATATAACTCAATATCCAGATATTCTTGTCCTCTTAACATTTCGTTAATTTTTCAAAATTCTGATAAATAATATAACTAGTCGGCTGTGTATATAACAGTCAATGCTACAGAATTCTATAGGTTTGGTTTTATATTTAATGGGAACATGCAAAATTTGGCTGATGTTACCAAGACATTCTCTTCCTTTGGACGTTTTTCTGTGATTAAAATAAATCTAAAATTATTTGTTCAGGTGGTGTGCTCATGGCTGACTAAGCCAGCATTTTTGTTAATCTTTAATTGCCCTTGAGAACGTGGTAATGAATTGCCTTATTGACCTGTATTTGTAGTACATATATGTACTGGTAGGGAGGGAGTTCCAGGATTTTAATCTAGCAATGATAAAGGAATGATGCTGTATTTCCAAGTTAGGATGGTTTGTAACTCAGAGGGGAACCTGCACTTGGTGATGTTACCATTCATCTGCTGCCATTGCAGGTTTAGAGGCTGCGAGTTTGGAAGCTGCTGTGGAAAAAGCCGTGGCAAGTGCCTCCTGTTCACCTTGTAGATGGTATACGTTGCTGCCACTACGATGGTGGAGCAAATGTATATTAAAGTTGGTGTTTGGGGTGCAATCAAGCAGGCTGCTTTGTTCTGGATGATGTTGAGCTTCCTGAGTGTTGTTGGAGCTGCACACAACCATGCAGGTAGACAGTATTCCATCACATTCCAGGATTGTGCCTTGTACATAGTGGACAGTTTTTGCAGAGTCAGAAGATGAGTTGCTTACAGCTGACAGTAGCGGACCTGATCTTGCAGCTACAGCATTTATCTGGCTGGTACAATTCAGTTTCTGGTCAATGGTAACCCCTGGAATGTTAGTGATAGTGGCTTCAATGATAGTAATGCCATTGATTTGTCAAAGGGAGGTGAATAAACTTTCCCTTGCTGGGGATAGCCAGAGACTTGCACTTGTCTGGTACTATTGTCACTTGTTGTGTAACTGTCCAATACCAAATTTTGTCCAGATCTTGTTGTTTGTGAGTACAGACTGCTTCAGTATCTGAACAGTTGCAAATGATGCTGAACATTGTGCAATCACCAGCAAACATCCGCACTGCTGACCTTATAATGGAGGGAAGGCAATCAATGAAGTTGCAGAATATGGAGACAGTAAGGACTACAGATGCTGGCAGCTAGTGTCAATAAATGTAGAGCTGGAAAGGCACAGCCAGTCAGACAGCATCCAAGGAGAAGAAAAGTCAATGTTTCGGGCTGAAAAAATGGTTGCCTGGATGTGTGTAGTTCCAACAACACTCAGAATGTTCAACATCATCCAGAACAAAGTAGCCTGCTTGATTGCACCCCAAACACCAACTTCAACATTCACTCACTCCACAGTACGCCCCAATATATTGGCCATACTACCGTATATCAAGAACATATCAGAAGTGATGACAAGACTCTGGCGACCATTAGGAATCATAGTAACACACAAACCCACAGCCCACTACGACAAACACTCACAAAGACCCCAGACCATGACGTGCAGGACCAACGTAGTTTACAAAATACCTTGCAATGACTGTACAAACATTATATCGGCCAGACCAGAAGGAAACTAGCCATCGAGAAATATGAACACCAGCTAGCGGCAAAACGACATGACAAACTTTCCCTCATCTCAGTGCACTTGGACGATGAAGGCCATCAATTTAACTGGGACAACGTGACCACCTTAGCTCAAGCCAACCACAGACACACACGCAAATTCCTAGAGGCCTGATTTTAACCTGTAATGCAATCAACAAACGTGGAATTAGACCCCAAATACAAACTCATGAAGAATAGAACCAGAAATGACACAACCCAACTTAACAGACTGAATCATATAAATACTAACGTCGCTTCATTGGAGGCTGTACTGATGATGTCACCTAGCATGGTGACATAACGTCTGTACGGGAACTGAATAAGATATTTCCATATAGCAAAACTGTTGTCGGTGGCTCTGGGCAGCCCATTGAAGTCCTAATAGCTATATGGTACTGGAAAGTGTGGTAAAAGAAGCCCACAGAAACATTTGCTTGGTACAGCTGAGAAATATTCGAGCTTGGAGAAATGTAGGCAGCATGCCAGCTAAATGAAGCTAGCTGTCTGCAATCATACCCTTGAGTAGGTATTGAAGTGTAGCCTTGGACGTTGCTGAGAAATCTATGGGATCTGTCTTGACTGTATATATCATTTGATGTGCTCTATGGAATGTTTGACCACAGTTTATTTGTTACCCTTCTTTACCTCATATTAATTCTGGATGTTAGAATATGTGTTTTGAGTATACACACATGCGGATTGTTTTACATTCTAACATTACATTCTGAAATGTATTTTGCTTGTTCCAAACCATGCAATATAATGGTTTAATTCACCTAGCATGTATCTGAGATCTGAAATGAGTAGAGGATGGAATAAAAGCTAAGGATCAGTTAAGCACTGCCAGATCAGGATGAGTTCACACACCAGTAATGTTTTTCTTCTCCCCAGCTGGCACCCCCTTCCCCACAGTAGAAACTGAGTCGATCCTTTCTGCCAGTGCAGTTGTGCAGGACATAATTTGCCAGTCATGTTCCATTCCATCACAAAACCCTGACTTGTTGTATTTCTATGGTGCAGGAGCATGTGAAAGTCCCATGCTGAAAAGTTTAGAAAATGTTCTGACCAACATCCCTCCCTGAACTGACACCACTAAAAACATATCAACTTATTGTTCATTTTATTAGTTTAGGCGCTGTGTATAAATTTGATGACATATTTATCTACATCCCAGTCATTCCACTTGTTGTTTTGAGAGCCATGTTAAAATATTGCATAAATAAAACTTTCTGTTCTTACTTCTTACTTTGCTCCTGATTTCCAGTACTTCAATATTCACTGCCTCTTTTGTGTGATTCTTAAATAAATAAGTACACATTGTTTCAATACCTGCTAATCCTTGCACAGCTTGTCCTGTCTATTTTCTGCAATATAATTCAAAATTTATATATTTACCAATGCCACAAGCAAAATTGTGTGCATTTTATTGCTGTTAGTTACATGTTGCCAAGGTAGAATGATTACCATAGTTGGCTTCCTGACAGCAGTTATTGCAACTCAAAAGTAAGTGAATTTTGCCACGTTTATCACAGATATGGCCACATACTATTTAAATGAAAATATTTTTCTTGCCAAGATGTTTTATCATTCAAAACATAGCATCAAATTAAAATGATAAACAGAATTATTGGTTCATGTTTGTTGATTAAATTAAATTCCATTTTTATTGTGTGAGAATCTTGCATTATTTTGAAGACTTTCAGTAGCCACATGACATGCAAACAGAAAATCTGTGGCCATGGTGAGAAGTTGCAGGGTTTTCGGTTTCCAAGCTGAGCTCCCTGGTTAATTTGTGATGTTAGTTTCCACTGACAAATAATACTCGATGCTTGTGGATACTGAATGTTCTGTATCCTCACCACAAAATGAGTAGAGAATCGGAAGGCTTGTTTCGTGCCTTTCTTTTCAAGTTTATTGGTTTTGAACTGTTTCAGCGATTGAGTTGCTGTTGGGCATTTTTCTTTATCGCGAAACTGATTTTGCCAACAGACTGTTCATGGTTACAATTATCCTGTAACACCAGCTGGAAAACTACACTACTTTTCATTGTCCATGCAGATATCCCAAAGGGAGAAGCACCTCCAAAATCCCCAGGGCCTGACTACGACGAAGGGTTTTTCCACGAATGCCGCAGCTTCAAAGAAACTGAAAGCAGCGACGATGCCGTGTTTAATTCGTAAACGATCAGATGCTGTGGTGTGGCATTTGGGTGTGTATGGGCGCTCCGGTGAAATTTCTCCCTCGTCCTATAGGAGGCTCCAAAATATGAGCCAGTTTTAGTTGGGGACAGAAATGTAACTTATTCATTTCCATAGCAGAGTGGTAACCAGGTTAGAATACCATCAGTCACTGATGTAATTATGCTCTGTTTATGTAACGAAAGCACAGTAAAGCGAACAAATGCAGTGATTGTCAGCTCGCACTAAACACCACTCTCAAAGGTTTCTGCGTCAGTTTTTTGAAAGGGCATCTGCCCCCACCACTCCCCCCCTTTAAATTACTTTTCAAACATTTATTCACTTCTCTGTTCGATATTCTGGCTCGAACCCTGATTCTGAGGAGGCTTTTCACGTTCTAAGAACCTTTCGCGTATGCAAACATTTTCCTCACGTCCCATTTGCCTCTTGCAGATGGCCCTTAACCAAAGCCCTTTAGTTACGGTCTCAAAGCCAATATCAAACCCCCTAATCATCTTGCAGACTCTCTGGAGCAGGTGTGCTGATGTTTGAGTTCCTGGCTGCCTTCAGTCACAGCCAAATTGCATTGTGGAATTCATACTCCCTCAATATCAGACGATGGTCAAAAGAAAAAGACATTCCCTTGTAATAAGCCCCGAATTTGATTCTTTGTATCGCAGTATATTAAGGGCCTCGCAAACGTCTCGCTACTGTTTAGCCAGTGAGCGGACAACCATGCAAGTAAACAGAGAGAGGCGGGGCGGACCTATACTGATTGGCGGCGCCTTCACACTGGCACATATATTGAAGTGCTGCTGTTGAATTTTGCGGACTTTGGTTGTTGCTCATTCTGCCTGAAAAGTGGAAGGCGGGCACATGCAGACACTGGGTACCCCTCCACCCACGCCTGCTTTTGAAAACCGCGCCCGTCTCCTGAAAGTATTGTCTGTTTCTCATAACCGTTTATCTTACACTTTAGGGGGCATTAAATTCAGGCCAACCCCAGCGGGATGCTTATCAGCTGAGCGAAGTTTCGATTTTGCGGGTTATGCAAGATCTAAGGAATTGTTGCTCCCTTATCGTTGTGGGTTCAGTAGTTCGGGCCAGCCTCACCTAGGAGTAGGTAAGAAGCCAGTCCTTGTTTATTGTGGTGCGCGGCTGCTATTATCTGCATTAACCCGCCTTGTGTTGTTCGGAAATTATGAACCACTGTACTTCAGTTCCCCTCAAAGCGGGAAGTTTTGGTTCCTGCTGAAAGCCACATGTGAGGGGTACTAACTCACTCGCTCTGGGATGTTTGACTTTTGCAAACCGAGGGAATATCTACGGTGATGTGGACTGAGCGTCTCAGCAGATTCCCTATTGTGTTGAAGAGGCTAAAACAACAACAGGGTAGTCGGGGCTGGCTGGATTTAACATTGTTTTGCCTTTGACTTGTTGAAAGAGCAACATCGTCGCACGGATTTAGATCAAAATTTAGTTTTATACGATTAATCGAAGCAAATATCGTTCGATTGGGGGAGGGTCAGTGAATCACTTTTGAGAATGTGATTTTTGAGAGATCGAGGCGATTACTGAACAGTTCGTTCTTCATTAGACGGGCTGGCAACTTGCCAGCTGGAGTGACTATCGCCTTGTGATGATGGCCTTTCTGACGGCAGATGCTCAAATGGATAACTGCCAATATGGAAATTCTTAGCCGTTTCTAAACCCTCACCCTCCGACACATTTGGGAGCTTCTGCGGGAATATTCATTTAATCTGTCGCTTCGTTATACTGATCTGCTGCCCTTTTTCACAATTGGTTTATGGAAACGTTGCCTTACATTGGTTGCCTAAGTGCTAGGTATCATGTTATATTTTGACAGTCACTATGCGTTGCTGTGTAGTGACGGACTGTTCAGACAAAGGGACATCTCTGGATGTGGGGTTATTTGTCTTACTTTACAGCTAGCTAGGAGTTACTAGACAGCAATCAGCTGAGAGCATCTTGGCAATGTTCACATTGAATGTAAAACTTTCCGGATTCTGGTTTGTTTAATAGTACCTTACAGAACTAAAGGATAAGGGAACCGATGCACAGGACCACCATCACTTGCAAGTTCCTCTCCGAGCTATGCACCATCCTAACATAGAACTATAATGTTGTTCTTTCACTGTCACCGGAGTCAAACTCCTAGAATTCCCTTTCTAACAGCATTGCCTGTGCACCAATACCATGGGCTGCAGCAGTTCAAGAAGGCAGCTGGTTACCACCTCTTCAAAGCCAGTTAAGAATGTGCATTAACGCTGTTCACATCTCAGGAAAGAAGAACAATAATTGCAGAAGCCTTTGCCTCTTGAACCATTGGGGTCTTTTTAAGATTGCACCAGAAGATTACGGTTGATTTCCAAATGGTTTTGTTTAAGGTATATGTGACTTGGGGTGGGTTATTTAAGTTCAGCTCCAGGGAAACTCTTCTCACAGCTTGTCTCTTACACTGCGCAAAATTTTAAAACACTGGTGAGCACACGAGATAGATGGAGAGGCTTTGTCCTTTTTTATACACTGGCTGATCTTTCTCTGACATTCTGCTTAGAGTCAAATTTTGGGCACTTTTATTCTGCATATGCTCAGTTACTAGTTGTTTCAAACATTCTGTCAGAAAACCCAGATGGCAGTGGGAACATTATCATGGCAAAATTAGGAACATTCAAGGAAAGAGTTTGAATTTATCAAGTATCTTCCAAAGTGTGTCGTACAAGTGGCATAGTTAATATACATAAAACAAGACTCTTACAACAGCAATTGAGTTGAAAAAAACATTTAATCTGTTTTTGTTGTGCTGGTTGAAGAAGGGATACTGGTAGCACTCCCTGCTGTTCTTGGACTAATGCCATGGGATATTTACCATCCCCATGTACAGATCTTTAACATCTCATCCAAACAATGGCACCACTCTCTTTCTCAGTGGTGCATTGCAATGGCTAGATTATGTGATTTAAAAACTTGGATCAGTGCTCAAAATATAACTTTCTCATTTAAAGGCAAGATGTGACTGATTCAGCAAAGCTGACATTTGTAGATTATTTTATTATGCACCCAATCAACTCTAAAGTAATTTTAATATTTTTATGGTTGTCTTTTTTAATAAAAAGATGTCTCATATGGTCCAGTAGAAAACCATACATAACCTCATGTTTTAGTTCATACTATTAGCTGATGTCACCTTGTGTGACAGAAGGGCCAGCACTATTTGCTTAATATGTCTATGCGTTAACAAAGAGGTTTGATATGCGGCTGGGTGCACAAAAATCTGAAAGGACTTTGCTGTCTTACTGCCTTCTGATGACCACTCTGCAATTGGTGTGTGTGTAATCTAGGCTGCCGATTATTTCATGTGCTTACTGAGTTATACCCCGACATGAGTAACTCCTTTTGAGGTGGGGAAGGAAGAGAGACAGGAGAAAAATAGAAATTAACGTAATTTAAAAATTATGTAGAAGGTCAAGGGACATCAGAATGTTATAATTCTATCACTATTGTCATTCTTGAAAGACATTTTACAATGGCTGATATTAGCGATGCGATACCAGGACATTTAGAAAATTTTACCCTGACTGGGGCAGCATAACAATATAAAGCTAGGTGGCAGAGTAGGTAGTGAGAAGGATGTGAAGAAGCTGCAAGAGAATATCTCTATATGCACTGAAGATATTCACAGGCTGGGTCAGCACCTTTTACCCTTCCCCAGTTACCCTTGAAAAGGTGGTGATGAATTGTCTTCTTGAATCGCTGCAGGCCTTGAATTTACGAACACCCACAGTGCTGTAGAGAAGAAATTCAGGACTTTGCTGTTCCTTCAGTGTCACTAGGTCAATGGATTTCCAAGTCAGGATGGTGGGAGATTTGGAGTTGAACTTGCAGATGGTGGTTTATCCTCTGTATCCGCTGCTCAGTACTGCCAAATGGTAGTAGTAATGGTCATGGTAGGTGCTGTTTAAGGAGATATAGCGAATTCTTAAAGTGTACCTTGTAGATGGTACACACTGCTGCTACTCTGCTTTGGTGGTGGAGGGAGTGAGTAATTGATTGCTAATGTTGTGCACATCAAGTGAGCTGCTTTCTTTTGGATGGTGCCAAGCATTTTGGGTGTCATTAGAGCTGCATTCATCCAGCAAGTGGAAATATTCTATGACACTCCTGACATGTGCCTTTTAGATGGTGAACTGGCTTTGGGGAGTCAGTAAATTAGTCACTCACTGCAGAATTCCTAGCCTTTGACCAGCTCCTACAGCCACAGTGTTCATATGTCTATTCCATTTCAGGTTCTGGACAATGGTAACCCCTATGATATTGATAGTGGGGGATTCAGTAATGGTAACACCACTGAATGTCAAGGGATGATGGTTAGATTCTCTTGTTGGAGATGGTCATTGTCTGGCATTTGTGTGGCGCAAATGTTGCTTGCCACTCATCAACCAAAACCTGGATATTGTCCAGGTCTTGCTCCATTTTGACATGTTTGGGCGTAGGACTCTAGCCTGAGGAACTGCTCCAGTGACGTCATGGATTTGAGATCACTAACCTCTAACTTGATCAGTTGTGGTGCTGTCAAGCCACTTTGGGGATGACATTGAAATCTTCACCCGCCTGAATTCTGCACCCTTGCAGCTCTCAGTGCTTCCACCAAGTGGCATTCAACTTGGAGAAGTACAAATTCATCAGCTGATTTGGAAGTTGGGAGTGGATGTTTCTTTGCCTACTGATTCAACATGATGCCCTGAGACTTCATGGGATCCAGATTCAATGTTGAGGACACCTGATGTAACTCGCACCTGATTGTATCACCATTATGGTGCCATCTCTGCTGGATTCATCATGCTGGTGGAACAGGACATACCCAGGAATGGTGATGCTGGTGTCTAGAACATTGTCTGTACAATCAATTCTGTGAGTATGATTATGTCGGGCTGTTGCTTGACCAGACTGTGAGATGGCGCTCTCAATTTTGAAAGCTAAGCCTCAGATGTTGGTGAGAAGGACTATGCAGGGTCCAAAGGGCTGAGTTTGCTGTTGACGATTCTGGTACCTCATTTGACACTGGGTGGTCAATCACATTTCAGCAAGTTGTGGATACTCAGTCATTGATACATTCAAGACAGTGAATTACAGCATTTAGAATACTAAGAGAATCAAAGGCATATTGGGATTGTGTGAGGAGGTGTTTAATTAGATCAGACATGTTTTTTTGAATGGTGCAACAGGCTCAAAGCTCAAACGGCCTACTCCAGCTCGATTCATTATGTTATTATCACATCCTTTTAAATAATACTTTGTAATGAATGATGTGAAAGGATGTTATTAATTACATTACTTACAGAACTGTAACTGTATACATGTGATGTGATAAACCAATGTGATTTAAACTGAGAGATAGCAAGAACTGCAGATGCTGGAGTCAGAGACAACACAGTGCAGAGTTGGAGGAACACAGTAGGCCAGACAGCATCAGAGGAGCAGGAAAATTGACATCTCGGGTTGGGACCCTTCTCCCAAAACATCAACTTTCCTGCTCCTCTGATGCTGCCTGGCCTGCTGTGTTCCTCCAGCTCCACACTGTGATTAAAACTGAAATTGAATTGACCCAGAATTAAATAAACAGTATTGTGATTTTCTATAATCATAAAAGCTATCATTTTTTGAAAATATCTAGCCAGTCTTGTAGTTCCACCTGTGTTCTCCAGGTCACAATTTTACTTCAGTGTCCGGATCAATCGAAAAATTTGCAAAAGAAGTTTAAAAAGTACCTTTATATTTTGGGACATTATTCCTAAACCCTTTTATGATATCAAAAAATGTGTTTACTGAATCTTTGTGGTATTGTAATGGTTAATGATTAACAAACTTATGTCAACATTTTCAGATAACAATCTTTGTTCCCATTTTGTTTTGATTTTCTTTGCAGGTTTTAGTCTAATTTTTTTCTCTAGCTTCTGCTTTTGGATGGCAGCTTTTCATCATCCTACCATTGATACCACCTTGACAGAAGTATTTCACTTCTTTTCATGTCCCTTTTAACCCTGCATGTCAAACATTTTTGCCATTTACTGTCCCCTTTTTTCCCTGTCAATTGCCTACCTT